TCCCCTTTTCCTTAAGAATCAGGGTGAAGTCTCTCTCAGGGAGGAGTGATAGGGAATGGCAAAGGACACACTGACAAAGGAGATTAATCAGAACTGGCTTTGATGAGCACTGTGGCAATTGGACAATTAGAACAGACTTTCAGGGGGGGAAAAGGAGAGGAACGAACTGGGGAGGAGGGTAGAGAAAATAGTGCAACAATGAATGAATGAAAACTCAAAATCTCTGTAAATGGTCATTAAAACTAATAAAATTTAATAATTAAAAAAAGAACAGATCCAGTGCCATCCTCTCAATATTCACCACACTAAAGTCCACTGCTGCAGTCACCGTGACAACCCATCTCATTGAGAGTCTATTTTGCTTCTGCTAACGCTCTTGTTTTCCAACCATGACATAATGCTTTTCCAAGGACTAGTCCCAACATGCCTAAAGAATAAGAATGGAAATTTAACCATTCTTGCTTTCAAGGAGCACCCTGGTTGCACTTCCTCTTTTGGCACTCCATGGTATATTAAACATTGCTTATCAGGGAGCTCTGGAGGCTTGTCAATACTGTTGAGTCAGAACTGACCCACTGATTCTCCAGAGGGTTTTCAGAGGCAGTTAACTGCATGAGAGGAAATTGTCCATCTTTCTCCCACAGAGCAGTTGGTGGATTCAGTTGGTATACTTTTGGGCTGCCAGAACAACTCATCACTAGGCCACCAGACCTCCCTTCTGGTAAGCAGCTGTACTGCCAATGCAAAATTCTTTCCTAAGATCACTAGTCAAAGGCATCACTCTTCTTTGGGAAGTGTCTCTGTGGATTCAAACCTCCTATCTTTTGTCTAGCAGCCAAGGACACCGACCATTCACCACACAGGATCTCCCAAATAGTTATAAATAAATTATCTCAGAGAGAAGAAATTACTTTTTAAAAAGTAGTGCACAGAATTTTGTTCTACGGGGTTAAAATATTTACTATATAATTTCAAGAACTGACATATTTCAGATAACAGATGCTGCCCTGGACGTGCTCACCAAGTTGTGCCAAGAAATCTGGAGAACAACCACTTGGCCAACTGACTGGAAGGGATCTATATTTGTTCCTATCCCAAAGAAAGGTGACCCAACAGAGTGTGGAAACTATAGAACAATCTCACTGGTTTCACATGAAAGCAAGATTTTACTGAAGATTATCCCAAAACGACTGCAACAGCAGCACAGCAGCAGAGAACTGCCAGAAGTCCAGGCTGGGTTTAGAAGGGGTCGTGGTACTAGGGATATTGTAGCTAATGTCAGATGGATATTGGCTGAAAGCAGGTAGTACCA